GCCTCGCCTCCCCGCCCCTCCCCCGCCTCTCCTGCCCTCTCTCCTGGAGCTCCACCCCAGAGGCCCTGAGCGCTGGTGACCCTGCCTCTTCTGCCCCCTCCCCTCCTTCTCCTGTCCCCCTCCCCTCTGTCCTTCTAGTGAGTCCCACAGCGGCCACCACGCCAAGAATCACTCGCTCCAACAGCATCCCCACCCACGAGGCGGCCTTCGAGCTGTACAGCGGCCCCCAAATGGGGAGCAGCCTGTCCCTGGCCGACAGACCCAAGGGGATGATTCGGTCAGGATCCTTCCGAGACCCCGCGGACGACGGTGAGACTCCATGCAGCGCGGTTCACGCTCACCCCAGCTCTGCTGGGCCTCACCAACCCCCCACCCCCTCCACGACCACACATGACACACAGGACATCCAGGCGGGCCATCTCCGCAATTCCTTCCCATCCCTTTGAAGGGCCTGGGGGCCCAGAAACCTCCGGTGGCACCGTCTGGCTTGGGGCTGGGGGAGGGAGGGATGGACGGACTGCGGATGGGCTCTGTGTGCCCTCAGCGTGCTGAGCCGCGGGCTCCCTCTCCAGCAGCCGTCGACCCTCCCCAGTGTCCCAAGTACCTGGGGACATACAGGGACACGATGGCAGCTCTTAGATTCTTATAAAGAACTAGGCATCTCATTCCTCTTCCAAGAGCGTGCCGAAGGTCAGCCTCAGGCAGGGTCCCGTGGTCGTCGTCGTGGTCTGGGGTCACGGTCAGCCTGGGGCCAGGCCTCTGGGAGACACACTCACACCAGAGGCAGTGCACACAGAGGAGCTTTAGGTCTGTTGGGGTGGGGCGGGGGGGCTGGGTGATCACGTGGGCGGTGCTTCACCCAGCGGTCCCCAGGCCCCGGCGCGGCCCGGCGTTGGGAAGAGGAGGCACAGGCAGGGCAGGGCCTGTTCTGAGCCGCTTGGACCGGGAGCTGCCCTTTCTGCAGCTAACAGACCTTCCCGGACGGGAAGAGAAGGTCGGCACCTGGGGGCCACACCCCCTTTCCGTCTCCGCTAACCCTGGCTCCCCCCACAGCCAGGCTGCCAGCCGGTGCAGACTGCGGGAGGAGGCGGCCTGCTCGGGCCCTGCTGCCTCAGACGCCTGCTCCAGGCTCTGTCTCTCCGTGTGCTCCAGACGCGCTCCAGAACCAGAGTCCATGCTCCCGCCCAGGGCCCTCCCCGGACCCTGCGCTCACTGTGTATTCTGCTTCTCTTCCAGTCCACGGCTCAGCGCTGTCCCTGGCCTCCAGCGCCTCCTCCACGTACTCCTCAGTAAGAGCATCACTCCCCGCCCCACTGCCACCAGAGCCTCCGCTGGGTGACCGTGCGGGGTGGGGGCACTGCTGTCTCGCGCCTGGGATCCAGGCGGGGGTGGGGAGGCGCCTAGAGCTTGGAGCCCTCGGCCGGTGGGCTCCTCCGTGGTCTTTCCGGCCTCATTGCCAATTCCTGAGCAGCTCTGGGGATTTTTGTTCCCCTCCTTTGAAAACTGGAGGATCCCCTTGTTGCAGAGCCGTCTGCGCTAAGGGAAGTGGGGCGTGCTTGTGGTAAGGTGACACGGGCCGGTCTGTAGGACTCCAGGACCTTAGCCACGTCCAGAATGCAGCCAGGACCGGCGAGCCCGGCACTGCGCTGGACGAAGGTGCTAACTTCACCCTGAGGTCCGTTCTGACCCTAAGTCTCTACCACTTCGAGCTGGTGGCAGAAAGGACCGGTCCTCAGATCAACCAGAGTGTCATTTACCAGCCTTCCTGGCAGTGACAAAGCTGGCCTGAGACATGTTTCATCTAAACCCGAGTAGAACGTCTGGGCCAGTCCTGCGACAAGCCGGGGCCAAGACAGTTTCAGCCTCTTCACGCTTCTGAGTCACGCTCTCCGTGCTCCCGGCCCTCCACGGGCCCGGGGCTCCTTCCCTCACAGTAACCGCCTCCCTTCTCTCTCTCTCCTTCTCTGCTCCCTTCAGGCTGAGGAGAGGATGCAATCTGAGGTAGGGTGCAAAGCCTTCGTCTGCTTGTTAACACCCCGCACTGCGTTCCCCTCCCAGACCTCATGCTTCTGCCACCGTGACTTTGTGTCTCTGTTCCCTTTGCAGCAAATCCGGAAGCTTCGTAGGGAACTGGAGTCATCGCAAGAGAAAGTGGCCACGCTGACGTCTCAGCTTTCCGCCAACGTGAGTGCCGGGAAGTCGGGGAGACCCGGGCAGTGGTTGGCCTGAGCTGGATAGGTTCAGCCGGAGGAGAGTTACTTACGAGGCGTCCCCTGGGCTTCGACACCACGGGGACAGAGAACTCAGGGATTGGCCTCCCCGTCTCTGAGTCTCAGTGTTTATACAGAACCATTTTTGTCCCCAGCCTAATCGATAGGTGTGGATGAGTTCATGGCCGCTGGTCTTTGAGCTCTCCAGAGATGGAAAAGAGGGTTCTCGGTGGTGCTTGTGGACGTGCGACAGGCCTACCGTGGGCCGTGGCCAGGATGGTACACATTCTGGTCATGGAGTCCTAGGAGCCCATCACTGCCCTGGGGACGGTCACAGCCTTGCTCACACCACATGACTGGGCGGGCGCCAAACTGGCTACGAGCGCGCTACCTCGTGACCACGATGCCGCTTACGCCCCAGCGCCATCCCCATGAGACCCCTCTTCTCCCAGATGCCCCTTCTCAGTCGTCTCCTGGGCGGCCGGCAGAGGGTGGGGACGCGAGCGGCGCTCTGTCCTCAGCCTGCCCACAGGACACTCCTTTAGAGTGAGCTTCCCCTTCCTGGGCCTGGGCTTGTGTGCCCGGTGGGTTGGGAGAGAGGAAGCCAGCCCCCCGACCAGGCTGCTTGTCCCCTGTGGCCAAGCTGCAAACAGAGAACATAGAGCCTTTCCCCCCGGAGCCGTAAACAACAGCTGAGCCGGATCCGCAGGAGTGTTCCAAGTGTCTGCACAAAGAAGGCACCGTGTCCCTGGCTTCCGCCGCGGTCTCTGGGTTTCTCTCCCCTCCTCCCTGGGGAGCCCAGCTGTCTGGCCCGGGGTCGTCCCTTGGAATCGGTAGAAGACGCCCCACCCGGCCCGTGCGTGTTCCCGACGCGTTTCAGCAACGATGCTCTCTGCACAGGGCAGCGGCTCGGTCCCCCCCGAGCCCGCCGTTCACACACTGCATGCGAACCAGTCTGTTTCGAGGTCAGATGGGGCACTTTTCCTACTTGTAGTGAACCCTAAGAATTGTGATAGGAGCAGGACCCCTCTCTTCTCTCCCTTGTGCCCCACCCACCAAGGCGGCGGCCCAGGTCAGGCCCTGCGCACCCCAGGAAATCCCTGTCTGGGAGATGCTGGGGAGGCCGGGAACATTAACGAGTCTGACTCACTCACACTGCAGGCTGTCAGCCTTCGCACTGGCAGAGCCAAAATATGAATCCAGAGGGTGATTTTTCTTAGAACAGGAAGTGCCCTTGGACTCAGAGAGAACAAGCCAAACACCCAGATGCGACAGGGTCTGAATTTTCGGTTCGGTCTTGCTGAGGCCGGAGCCGTGGCCGAGGCCTCGGGAGGCTCCACACCTCCCTGCGGGTCTCTGTTCCAGACCCGCTTTCGCCGGTTTCCCTGGAGCTTCCGAGCCGCCGGGGCCCAGGGCACAAGCCAGGCGGCCGACCCTCACAAATGTCAGCTCCTCTCCAGTCCCGCCACTGAGCCCTGAAGCGGCACAGGCACCCCACTGTGGCTGAGGGTTGGGGAGGTGCAGCGGAGCGAGGGGGAGGGAGCCCACCCAGATTCGGAAAGGCCCCGCCAGGAGAGGCCACGCAGCACGCCGAAGGCCGGGGCACCGCGGTCTCTCATGAGTGCGACACAGGCAGGGACATGGAGAAGTGAGCCAGAGCCCCAAAGCCCAGGAGACAGGAGGCGGTGCAGCACGTGGAAGGACACGCTCAGGGTCGTGACGGAGGCACCAAGGCGCCCAGGCCTTGATGATGTACAGCTCCAGAGGGCGGCAGAGGAGGCTCACGCAGGCCCCCAGGGGGCCCTTGCAGCATGGCCGGACGGGCAAGGCCTCCAGGCCTGTGTCAGGGCAGTGGGTGAAGATAGGGGACCCCAGGGGAGCGAGGCAGTAAGTGGGAGCACATCACAGGCATCCAGGAGCTCGGGGTGAAGCGCCTGCTCAGAACCCGCCTGTCACTTGCTGCTGCGGCCGCCGGCTCGCTGGCGACTTCTCCGTCCCCACGCGCTCCCCTTCGAGGTCCCGGCCTCGTTCCCTTCACCGTTCCTACACGTCCTGCCACATGCGGCCTCAGCCCCAATGTACCCAGCCTGCCTCCTCCCTGGAGGGGCCCGGTGACCCTGACCTGACACCTAGCATCCACGCCACGGACTGTGCCTGTGCCTCCTCGACCTGCAGCCCTGCAGAGCAAGCCCAGAGGGACCAGGCCCCAGCAGAGTGGAGGGACCACATGCCAGTTCCTGCTGGGCCCGTGGGGCCAGCCAGAGGGACAACGGGGTTAGACTGCGGTGATGGGCCACCCCGAGGCTGTACCCTCCCTTGGAGCACAGGGACAGTGGCCACCGGTGAATAATAGGTGCCAGCTCCCCCGTCTCCAGGAGCTTCCAAACCTCCCATGCCCTCCCTCAGGCTGTCTGTCCTTGCTCAGGTCCCCTCCAGAAAGCCATGCGATGGCGCCTTGTCTGCTCAGGAGGATCAGTGTTTAAAACTCACTGAGAGGTTCATGGGCCCCAGTTAGCTCTGACACAGAAGATGAGCTGACAGCCCCCCTCAGTCCTCGCCTCGCCCCAAGCCCTGGACGACTTAAGACCCTCGTGTGTGTTCCAGGCTAACCTGGTGGCGGCTTTCGAGCAGAGCTTGGTGAGCATGACGTCCCGCCTGCGGCACCTGGCCGAGACCGCAGAGGAGAAGGTGAGGCGGGGGCGGGACGGCCCTCCCCCTCCCTTTCTGTCACCCCGAGTTCTGAACCCGCCGCGTAAGACAACTGTCCCGTCTCCGCAGCCCTCTGTCACACGCATGGTAGAATGCCACTGCCTCGCCCACTGCTTGGCACGTAGTAGGGCTCCCAGACCCCACCAGTGACTGTTTTCATTTCTCTCTTAGGACACTGAGTTGCTGGATTTGCGAGAAACCATAGATTTTCTGAAGAAAAAGAACTCAGAGGCCCAGGCAGTCATCCAGGGGGCCCTCAGCGCCTCGGAAGCCACGCCCAAAGGTGGGTCCAGGAAGGGAGGGTGGACAGGCAGAGCATGGAGGCTTAGGCCAGAGACAGGATTCCGTGCGACACTGTAACGGTGGATACGTGTCACTGCACGTGTGTCCAAACCCCCAGAATGCACACCTCCAAGAGTGAGGCCGATCTGATGGCAGCTGCGACTCGGCGACAGTGCAGGTCCATCAGTTGGAACAAACGCGCCCTCTGGTGGGGATGTCGATGTCGAGTGAATTTTTGCTCCTCGGTTTTGCGGTGGTCCTAGAACTGTGTGTGCACGCACCTGTGCAGTCTGGTTCGTCCCTGTTCTCTGAGGCGGGACGCCACCCACTCTGCAGTGAGGCCCGGACCGCAGGCTAGTGCGCGGGGCTCAAAGGACAAGTTAGCCTCGGCGTCTCACAGCCACGCGTTCAGGCTTGGCTAGAGCAAGTCAGGACCAGCGTCTAACACCACAGAGACCCCAGCCGCGCCCTCGTCCTCGTCCTCATCCGGGGTCCGGTTTCTTTTCCAACGCGCTGCCAGTGACTCCCACCTGCCCGCAGCCCTCTCCCAGCCCACGGCCCAGCGCCGCTGCCTCCTCTGAGTGCAGACTGCGCTTCCTCCTTCGCCGAGACGGTGAACATCTGCAGAGGGCAGGCCCTGCCCGTCCCCACTGCAGCCGTCTGCCTTCCGCCCGTCCCTACGTACTCTCCCCATTTGTCGGAAGGAGCTGGCCCTTCTGGCCAAGAGCGACCCCTTATCTAATGCTTAGGGATGGTCCTTCCAGCAATTACGCCCCCCGCGCACACACACTCACACAGCGTCACACAGTCACACACACACGTACGCAGTCACACACCTACATGCTTTCACGCATGCAGACTCACGCAGTCGCACACGTACATCATCTGGATCTTGATTTCTCTCTGCTCATAGGGGATGCTGCTAAAGGCTCTTTCATCTTAAAGGAGCAGAAGGAGGTATCTGCCTGTGTCCTCCCCAATTATAATTCTTTCCTTTCCTTCAAGACTTACTGTCCCACCTTTCACACCTAACCGCACTATCATTCCACTCCTGTCCCCATCACCCTACCAAACTGCTTTCACCAAAGTCACCAGCGACCCCCATTCCCCAAACCTTACTTCCCATATTTAGTACTTACTTTACTTGACTCCTGTAAAATGAGATAACACTTAACCGGGAGTTTGCTGTTCTGAATCAGAGTGCATGTTAACATTCACCACGGTGCCGGAAAGTACACCTCCTACACACACACGCACACACGCACACACGTGCACGCACACACGCACACGCGTGCACACACACGCACACACGCACACAGGCAGAGGGAAGGGGAGCAGCACCCGAGACTCCCAAGGTCCGGCCCTGTTCACCCTACCAAACTGCTTTCACCAAAGTCACCAGCGACCCCCATTCCCCAAACCTTACTTCCCATATTTAGTACTTACTTTACTTGACTCCTGTAAAATGAGATAACACTTAACCGGGAGTTTGCTGTTCTGAATCAGAGTGCATGTTAACATTCACCACGGTGCCGGAAAGTACACCTCCTACACACACACGCACACACGCACACACGCGCACGCACACACGCACACGCGTGCACACACACACACACGCACACAGGCAGAGGGAAGGGGAGCAGCACCCAAGACTCCCAAGGTCCAGCCCTGTTAAGGTCCCCGCTCTGCACTGAGCTTTTCCCCAGCTTCTGAGTCGCTGTCCCTATCTCGGTCTCTTCTGCCAGCTGAGACCCCTGTTCTCCAGGGGACACTGTCCACACACTGACGAGACCGTCCACAGGAAGAGACATGCTTGCCAGTCATGTGTCCGATGAGGGTCTCGCGTCCAGAACATATTAAACACCCAACAGTAAAAAGACCAGTAACCCAATTTTACAAATAGGCCCAGGATTTCAATAGACATCTCTCCACGAAGGTACACACGTGGCCAAAAAGCACGTGAAAAGATGCTCTGTATCTCCTTAGCCATCCAGGAAATTCAAATGAAAACGCAAGGTGATCCCACTTCACGTGCAGTAGGATGGCTGCGGCAGAAAAGAGGGCAGTGGCTGGCGCCGACCAGGGTGTGGAGCAGCCGGGGCCCTCACATGTGGCTGGTGGGGACATAAGATGATGCAGCCTTTTTGAAAGCCAGTTGGCAGTTCCTTAGACAGCCAGACGCGGCGTTCCCGTGGGACCCGGGAACCCGTGCTGGGCGGGCGAGAGCCTGGTCGAGCCGAGTGCACTAGTTTGCGCTCAGTTGTTTCTCTTTCTAGACCGGGAGCTTCTTGAAATCATTTCTTACTTATTTTTTACCTTTGGCTTTTTTTTATGCCGAGACGTGATCGCCACTCAATAAATGTTTTTTGGAGAATGACCCAAACGATGATGACGTGGACTCAGGCTGTGGTCGGGCCCCCTCCCCACCCCTCACGCCTCTAACCCCCGTCTGTGCTCCCCCCCTGCTGCTTGTCCTCGGCCCCCAGAACTGCGGATCAAGAGACAGAACTCCTCAGATAGCATCTCGAGCCTCAACAGCATCACCAGCCATTCCAGCATCGGCAGCGGCAAGGACGCGGAGGCCAAGAAGAAGAAGAAGAAGAGCTGGGTGAGTAATGGCCGGTGGGGTCTGTGTGGCCGGACCCCCCAGAACTAGCAGAGATCCCGCCCCAGAGCACTCGGCCCCAGAGCGCTGTCCGCCAAGGCCGCCTCCGCCCTGCCCGTCCCTGCTGGTCCCGGGCCGCCCCTCCAGCCCACACCGCACCTGCTTCCCTCGGCCCCGCGCACGGGCCAGGGCACACAGGCTCCCCAGGAGGGAGCGCCCGCCCCAGCCCACTCCCCTCGCACCACGGGAAGAGGGTTTCACGACAGCGCCGCCCGCTGCGGAGGCACTAGTGGAGGTCTCCAGCTTGCTTCCAAAGAACCTTTGTGTCGCCTTTGGCCCAGAGGCAGTTGGGGTTTTATTCTTCCCAGATGACCTCCACTTTGGATGACCCTTCTGGAATTCTTCAGGCAGGTCTCAGACACTTAGTTCCCCCGCTGCCGGTGGGAAGGCGAGGACCCCCAGGCCGAGACTCCTCGCCCTCTGTTCCCTGTCCAGCAGGCCCGGCCCACGGCCCTTTGCAGAGCGCAGACAGGTCCCCGCCGTGTGAACTGAGTGATTAAGTGTTGCTTCTTTTTTTTTCCCTTCAAAATGCTGACTTCAAATCCCTATTTTTTTCCAGGTCTATGAGGTAAGAGACCCTGCTTCTGTCCCCCGCTTTCTCTGTCCCTCTGCTGTCCTTTTCCCATTTCCAGAGCAGCCCTTGCCCCTAAACAATGATTAGCCACTCATGAAACTAACCGTAAGGATCACCCAGGGTCCCTGACTTACTGCCCTGCATGGCCCGTCCACGCTGCACCCACGGGGACAGGAGTGTTCTGGTTGGGGCCAAGAGGGAACGGCAAACAAGGTCCCGGTGCATTTGTCCCTCCCATCCCCCACGTTAGAGACCAGCCTCTCACAGAGCGGTCGGACTCCAGGCAGTGGCTTTCTGGAAGACCGTTGCGACGGTCATGGTCTTGACTGCGCTTCCCAGAGGCCCGCTTACTGTGGGTCTCGCCTGCAGACTTAGCTCTAGACTACGACGAGCCAGAGACCAATGAGGAACACGGCCCAGTCCGGGGCACCCTCAGGTCTCCCGGAACCCCGAGGCCCTCTGGCCATTGTGGAGTTTCCAAGGCATTTTGCAGGGAGAGTATCGCCCAGGACAAACCGAGTGCGCCCAGAATTTCTGTTACAAACCAGATGTCTGGGTCCACTCGCCCCATGCCAGCATTGAGCCAGGTGCTGTGAAGGCTGTGGGGGATGGAGTCTATAGTCTACGCCATCGAAGGGGACAGAATGGCTGAGGGGACAGTCACAGTTATCAGATCGCTGACAACCATCCAGTGGTGCCAGGATGCTTAACGCAGTCAGTGAGCGCTCGAGGAGCTGGTAGTCTAAGAGCAGAGGGTGGGAAGCATCACACAGGAAGTAAAAGCTACACCGAGGCGGGATGGTGACAGGTGTGTGCTGGGACCTTCCTGCGTGTCCACCGCTGATAAGCGGGAGTGGTGGAGACGACCCTGCCAGCTGGAGCGCTGCCTGGGGGGCGGAGGACAGAGTGGGGTCGAGGTGCCTGGGAGGTGTTTAAGCCCGACGCCTCAGGTTAGCTCCCCCCACGCGCCCCAGTAGGCCACCGGGGTGCCCTCTGCAAAGCAGCGCCGTCACTGCTTTCCCCTTGCATGTCCGTGTGGGGAGGCCCGGCGTGGCCCTCACTCACGTCGGGCTTGGTCCATCCTGTCCTGGACTCATTCGACACCACACAACTCCTACCGTGTCCCCGCAGCTCTGCTTTGGGAACACCGGCCTATGCGGACCTTCTCCGTGAGGGCCTTGTGGCCTGAGAGGGCATCCACTCCAGGCCGACCGGTCACTGGGTCTCTGTGTGCAGAGCGCACACACACGCACATGTACACAGACACGTGCACACGTGCACACATGCACACACGAGGCTGGACATGGAGAACTAGGGGCCTGAGTCCTGGTCCCAAGCCCTCTTTTCATCGTGCAGTCCCAAGCCAGCCCCCTGGCCTTTGTGGCCTCAGTACCCATCTCTGCGGGGCACTCCGCGTCCACTACTTCTGAGCCTTGAGTGCTCACGTGTGATGTCTCCTGCCCTCACCCCCAGCCCCACTGAGGCCAGATTTGTCATCTTTGTCCAACCCGGTAGAGACCCCAGCACGGCCTACCCCTCAGCTCCGCCTGTCACGGAGCAGCATCACTGTGCTCCAGGAGAGACACTTAGAGTCCCGTCAGATCGGCCCTTCCGTTCCCTTCTCACTGTCCCAAAGGTCTAGTCTGCTCTCATTGCCTACAGCCTTCGACCCCTCCCTCCCTCTGTCTGCCGCTGCCACTCGTCTGTCCCTGTGCGGTGTGCATGCTCTATGGACGCATGCGAGTGGGTGTGGGACGGGGCCCTGGTCTGCATCTCCGGCTCACGCCCCTGACACCCAGGCTCATCACCCCGAGACCAAGCAGGCTATGGTCAGGTCACAGCACCCCAGGTACTCTGAGGGGGTGCTGGGGAAAGTCCCTCGTTGTCCCTTGCTCAGGACCTTTGAACAGCAGTGGTGGAAAGCCCAGTGCCTGGCTGTTTTAACCGTTCTGTGAGGTGCTGAGCACAAGAGACATGAAAAGAAACTCGATGCCACTCCCTGCTGCTCCCCCCAGAATCGCGTGTCAGGTCCCGGGTAACGGGAGCGGGCTGCGCCCCCATGCACCCTGCTCAGAGCTGGTTCCTGCAGGAGGCCCCCAGCGAGCCCGGCTCTGGACTGGCAGCCCAGGCTGCTGCGACCTCTGCCCTTTGCCCCCTGGGGCTTCTCTCCGTCCCTCCTGGGCACAGTTCCCCCAAGGGGGAGAGAAGGCCCAAGAGTTGCCGTGGCCTACAGCAGAAGCAGGCCAGGGTGCCCCACGCTGTCGCAGCCCTAACTTCTAGGCCACTCTCCTGTTCACCTTCCCTGTGTCACGTGCAGCCCTGAAAAGGGAGGCAGAGTCCCCACCCCCGATGGCCGACCACGCGCTGTCCCCCCATGCCTGACGCCCCCTGGTCTGCTCTATTCTAGCTCCGAAGCTCTTTCAACAAGGCCTTCAGCATCAAGAAGGGGCCCAAGTCCGCGTCCTCCTACTCCGACATCGAGGAGATTGCCACCCCCGACTCCTCGGCCCCCTCGTCCCCCAAGCTGCAGCATGGTGCCACGGAGACGGCTTCGCCTGCCATCAAGTCCTCCAGCTTGGCCTCTGTGGGCGTCGACGCCACCGAGTAAGCGCTCCCCCACTGCCCACCCCCCACCCGGCGCCCAGGTGAACTGCTGGCTGGAGTTGGCTGTCAGCACCTCCGACCCTGGACACACAGCGCCCCGCACACAGACCTGTCCGTGGCCTCCGGGACCACCGGAAGGGCCTTCGCTGTCCCTCCTGGTGCCTGGGGGCAGGGGGACCCGAGGTTGCAGCCAGTCTCTGTCCCCCAAGGGACGAGCTCCGCACGTTGCTGGCTTGACTGCTGCTTTCTCCCAGGATCCCTGCTCACGTGGCTCCCCACCCCCGGCTGTTCGCGGCTGGCGAGGAGGAGGAGCCGGAGAGGAAGGAGGTGTCGGAGCTGCGCTCCGAGCTCTGGGAGAAGGAGATGAAGCTGACGGACATCCGCCTGGAGGCCCTCAACTCCGCCCACCAGCTGGACCAGCTGCGGGAGACCATGCACAACATGCAGGTTGGTGTCCGGCGGGGCGGGCTGCGGCTGCGGCCCCGTCGGCCGCCCCATGACCCCGTCTGTTCCACACAGCTGGAGGTCGATCTGCTGAAAGCAGAGAACGACCGGCTGAAGGTCGCCCCCGGCCCCTCGTCCGGCCCCGCCCCAGGGCAGGTCCCGGGGCCCGCTGCCCTGCCGTCCCCTCGCCGCTCGCTGGGCCTCGCTCTCGCCCACTGCTCCAGCCCGAGCCTCACGGACACAGGTACCTGTCTGGGGGAGGGGCCTGTCAGGACAGGAGAGCAGGGTCCGGCCCACGGCCACACGTTCCCCGTGCTCTGGTGGCGTCTTCCTTGGCCAGGGAGGTGACAGCGCCTAAGCCAAGCAGATGCCGGTGTCACGGGACAAAGTGTCATTATGGTCCTGGACCTTAGCGATCTTTCCGTTTGGGGCTGCGTCTCTTCTCCGTGGCAAGAACCGCTTAGATGGGACAGTGGGGTGGGGGGCTTAGGAGCACCTGCGGGTGTCCCTAAGGCTCAGTCGCCCTCGCTGCCCGCAGACCTGTCGCCCATGGACGGCATCAGCACCTGCGGCCCCAAGGAGGAGGCCACGCTCCGGGTGGTGGTGAGGATGTCGCCCCAGCGCGTCATCAGAGGGGTGAGGACTCCGGGAGGGCTGCCGACACTGTCACCCTCACTCAGGACACCCCGCCCTGAGTACCCCCAGAGCCAGAGTCCTCAGCTCCTGGAGTTTGTAGGGTCTCCCTCTCCTTGGCGTCATCGGCCCAGAGGCTCACATGCTTCTCCCTCGGCCTCACAGGACTTGAAGCAGCAGGAGTTCTTCCTGGGATGCAGCAAGGTCAGTGGACAAGTTGACTGGAAGATGCTGGATGAAGCTGTGTTCCAGGTGTTCAAGGTAAGGAACACGTGTTCCCACAAAGGCTGCTCTTCCTCCTGGGGATACAGGGCCATCCAGACCCTGGGGTCTGGGGCACCTCTGATCCCCACGGAGAAATGCCAAGTGCCTTGTCCATCTGCTTCTGTTCCCTCCCGTGTGCTTTTGCTGTGGCTTCTGCATCTGTGTGTTCACCTTCTCGGTGGTCCTCAGCATCTTCCTCTCCCATCCTCCCCCGTCAGGACTACATTTCTAAGATGGACCCAGCCTCGACCCTGGGACTGAGCACCGAGTCCATCCACGGCTACAGCATCAGCCACGTGAAGCGCGTGTTGGACTCAGAGCCCCCGGAGCTGCCTCCCTGCCGCCGTGGAGTCAACAACATATCGGTCTCCCTCAAAGGTCGGTCTTTGTCGCTCACGGTACAGTGGTTTGGGATGAAGGGAAGGGGAGGATCGTCAGCGGGCTCCCACGTGTGCATTCCACGGCAATTATGGAAGCTACACCGACTGGGATGGAAAATACTGTTTTAAATGTTACGTTGTTGCTAACGTGCACTGTGTGGTTAGGCCTAGGATTGCAACGTGTACAGGCTTTTTCCCTTGTCTTTATTTCCTAAACAATACACGGCAACAACTACCTACAGAGCGTTTACAGTGTAGCAGGTGTAAGTAACTAGAGGCGATTTCAAGGATAGGGGATGGTGTGCAGGGGTTACGTGCAGGTGCTCCGCCATTTATGTAAAGGGCGTGGGCACTCTCAGAATTCTGTATCAGGGGTCCAGGATCCAATCCCCCGCGGACACCAGAGGATGACTGTAGTGTGAGATATGAAAAGATAAGACCCAGTACTGACTTTCGTTCCCAGGGACATTGCTGTTCACAGGGAAAGTTCTGCCCAGTCCACCCATGCACCTGTAGCTCACAGCCTGTCCCTAAAAATAAGAGCCACACGGCCAACACTGGGGTCAGGGGTTTCTGTGGAACCTGGGGCGAGAGGCTGAGTTCCTGGCTGAAGTGGGAAGGGCCTCGGGACCCCCTGCCACCCTTGGGGCCCTGTCGAGACCTGTGCTCTCTGGGGCTGGGGTTCAGGTCTCAAGCAGAAGTGCATCGACAGCCTGGTGTTCGAGACGCTGATCCCCAAGCCCATGATGCAGCACTACATCAGCCTCCTGCTCAAGCACCGGCGTCTCGTCCTCTCGGGCCCCAGCGGCACGGGCAAGACCTACCTGACCAACCGGCTGGCCGAGTACCTGGTCGAGCGCTCCGGCCGCGAGGTCACCGAGGGCATCGTCAGCACCTTCAACATGCACCAGCAGTCTTGCAAGGTGGCTGCGTCCCGAGACCCTGCCAGCGCTTTCTCAGGCCTCGGCCTCCCCAGACCTTGCCAGGCCCTTCCTGCCCCTCCTTCCCCCGCCACGGCCTCCCAGCCCTTCTTCTCCCACCTCTCCCGTGGCCTCCCACACCTCCTTCCCGGTCTTTGCCCCAGACCTTGGCCCTTCCTTCTCAGCTCCCGGGCCGTCGCGCCCCTTCCCGTCCAGCTGACCACCGTCCGAGCCACGTGTTCCTCGTCCCGCCTCACTCTGCCACCCCTGCCACCGTCCCTGCTCATTTGTCTCCTCTCCGCCTTTCTCGTCAGCTTTACTCCCTGACTTTGGGCTTTCCGAGAAGCACTCGGAACTGTGCCACATGCGCGGTCCCCTGCCGGGTCTCGCTGTCCCTGAGCACCCCTTACACTTCGGGGTTGGTTTAAATCCTGGCTCTTCCGTCGGGAGCCCCTGCTGAGAGGGATGCTTTAGAGCCCGGGGACCCTGCCTCTCAGTGCGGGCCATCTGCCTCCACGGTCGGTGTTGGCGCGCACCCATCAGGCACGCGTCCATCGGACCTGGCACAGCCCCCCACCAAGGCCCAGGCCCCTGAGCACCTTTTGTTTCAGGACCTGCAGCTGTACCTCTCCAACCTGGCCCACCAAATAGACCGCGGCACGGGGACTGGGGACGTCCCCCTGGTGGTCCTGCTGGACGACCTGAGCGAAGCAGGCTCCATCAGCGAGCTGGTCAATGGGGCCCTCACCTGCAAGTACCACAAATGGTAAGCTGGACGCAGGACCGTCCCCTGGGAAGAAGGGGGCCCGGCCCAGCCCAGCCCATCCCACCGGGCGCGTGGCAGGAAACAAGTGTTAAAGCGAGGCTACGTGCATCGTCCCCTCTGTTCCCACAGCCCCTACATCATAGGCACCACCAATCAGCCTGTGAAGATGACACCCAATCACGGCTTGCACTTGAGCTTCAGGTGAGAACTGTGGCCCTGGGTGCACCTTCCCACCTGTCCGAGAGTCTGTAAGCCAAGTCTGGCCAGAGGGCAGTAGGTTGCAGAAGGCCAGCCGGCCAGCCAGAGCCTTCTGGGCTGAGGAGAGAGAGTTGTTGGCCATGTCGGTTACGTGGTAGAGAAGGACCTTGGGGAAGAGGAGGGGGCAGCAGAACTGAGATGCAGCTGTAACTTGGCCTCTCAGCCGGGTCAGTGAGGGCAACTGGTTGTCTGAAGAGGGTCACTGGTTTGCCAATCAGCTCAGCCGGCCCCGGGCTGCTGCCCCAAGCTCAGCTGACCCCACCGTGACTTGAGAGGCAACCCAGCGGGCTTCGTGGGAGGTCGGCAGGAGGAGGGCGAAGCCTGGCAGCGTCCCCATTGCCCGTCCGACCCCACTTCCTGTCCCTGGGCAGGATGCTGACCTTCTCCAACAACGTGGAGCCGGCCAACGGCTTCCTGGCTCGCTACCTGCGGAGGAAGCTGGTGGAGTCGGACAGTGATGCCAACGCGAACCGGGAAGACCTGCTGCGGGTGCTGGAGTGGGTGCCCAAGCTGTGGTACCACCTGCACACCTTCCTGGAGAAGCACAGCACCTCGGACTTCCTCATCGGTACCATGCTCAGCCCCCGCCCGCCGTGCCCCCCGCGGGGTCCCCTCCTTCCTGGGGTCCTCTGCATGCAGAAAGGTCGCAGACTTAGAGCCACGTTGCGCCTTAGCCAGCTCCCAACGCCGTTAGCGCCACGATGTGGCCGCCCTGTCACGTCAGCCTTCGGGAAGCTACTCCCTCCCTCGCTTGTCCCCGCAGTCAGTGAGAGAGCACTGGAAAGTGCCGGGGTCAGAGCATCCCACACTCCCTCCCCCTCTGCACCCGGAACACGCACTTGCGTGACTGCCACCAAGCCGTCGGGCCCACGGTCTGGAGCGGTCTCGGGTCCCTGCACACCAGGCTCCCTTGACCCTTGGCCGGCAGAGCCCTGTGCCCGGTGCCAGGGAGTCCAAGGGGCAGGTCCCGGGCCGCTGATGGTGTGACGCTCCCACAGGGCCCTGCTTCTTCCTGTCCTGCCCGGTTGGCATTGAGGACTCACGGACCTGGTTCATCGACCTGTGGAACAGCTCCATCATCCCCTACCTGCAGGAAGGGGCCCGGGACGGGGTCAAGGTGAGCCCTGCCGTCCGACTGCCCAGCCCCCGGTCCCTAGCCGGGCTGTTCGCCGGGCAAAACAGAAGCCCGCCCTTGGTGCCGACACGGCCCCCGGGATGGGCTCAGGCCTTCTGCATGGGCGCGTTAGGCCCGGGGAGGCGAGGCTGCTTTTCAGCCTCCAGTCACCACTTGGGAACAGCTACAGGACCACTGCCTCTGTGGCCACGTCCCCAGCCAAACTCAGACCCCCACTCTAGGGACCAGAGAGTGAAGTGAAGCCTGGTTATGGCCTTAGCCACCGCCAAGAAAACGCTGCCTTGGCCCAGTTACCCAGCCTCTTAACACCCCTCGTGTGTGACAAGGACACGAGGACTTCCTCCCAGAGCACCGGGCCGTTTTCGAGACACATGGAATGTGTGACAAGAGTTTTGAAAATTAGAATAAGAACATTGTGCAAAAGGAAGATGTCATTTTTTTAAAAAACCTTCTCAGTCTTGTCACCAGTAAATTAGCGCGTAGTGGTCCCCGGAGTCCATGCTGGCACTCGTGACCATGTGCCCGCTGGACCCCCGGTCACGTGTTATCCGTAAAAGTAACGTGTCGCCGTGACAGCGATCTCCTGATGAGATGCCGGGACTCGTCATTTCATTTACACAGATACCGTCTGTTTTCCACAAAGTCAAAACAATTTTTAAGGTATAATTACTAAGGAGGGAGAATTTCCTACTCGAAAAGTAAAATAGTGGGGTCACAAGATCTGTACTTGTTAGGTTTTAACACACGATGCTTTCACCAGTCTTCGCCAGCTTGTGTCCTGCTGCGAAGGTCCTGGACACTCCGCTGCAATTAGAGCCTCAGGTTCGCCTCTGAGGGAGCTCAGAGCCGGAGCCTGCACTACCGAGCCTCTGCTCCTGGGTCTTCTCCCGCCACCCCGTTCTCCTCCTCTCCAGGCCCACGGACAGAAAGCTGCTTGGGAGGACCCAGTGGAGTGGGTCCGGGACACTCTTCCCTGGCCGTCAGCCCAGCAGGACCAGTCAAAGCTGTGCCACCTGCCCCCGCCCACCGTGGGCCCTCACAGCATGGCCTCGCCTCCCGAGGACAGGACAGTCAAAGACTGCACCCCAAGTTCTCTGGACTCAGACCCTCTGGTGAGTGGGAACCAATCTAATTAGAGAGCGAGTGTGTTGCAGAACTTAGCGCTGCGTGTGTCCCCTCACGGGGAGGCTGGAGTATCGGGGAGGTTGGGAGCAGGACGAGCCCGGGAGGGGCCCCGATGGTCAGGGTCCTGGCTCGTACACGCCGTGTGCCTGCGACCTGGTGAAGCCAAGTAAGAACGTGTGCCCGCAAGATGCTGGCGCAAGCCCCCGGGTCCTGGGGGAGACCAGACAGGTAGGGTGGCAAGGCTCGGTGGCGTTCCCCCACTGCCGCCTGCCCTCTGCTGGTGTCCTGACGACGGCTTCAGTTCCCCAGATTTCGTACTCTGTAGAAAGCAGGCTGAGACGGGCGACAAAGGGAAATACCAGCAATTTTTGTAACCAGAGAGAATGGACACCTGTATTAAACTTCCTCAAACTCATCCAGACAGAAGAGTGTGCGAAGGTTAGGAAAAGGCCTTTGAGTAGAGGAAATGCGATTGGCCAATAAAAACATCAAAAGGTCCCTAACCTCTCCAGTAATTGAGGGAGTACACATTGCGACAAGAGATACTGTTTCACACCAGCCCAAATAGTGTGTGGAAGCCCAGACTGTCACACACGCTGGCGGGAGTGTTGCGGGCACATCCATGTCACAGGACGAGTCAGTAGATGATGTCAGACGCTAACGTGTCCAAACCCTGTGACCTTAAAGTTTGACGTGTCAGGTAGGAAATTCTTCCACTTTAGTCATAATACATTTTTATTTAAGTTTTGACTTTGTTGAAAACAGAAGTTATCTGTGTTAAAAATGCTCGTAAGGTGGAAGCCTGTTAAAAATCATGTAAATCAGGTGGAAGGCGGACGGAATAGAGAATCAACCAGCGTAGCTGAAATGGGGGTCACAGCACC